CCTTATCGGGCTGGGACCTAGAATATCATCTGCAGGAACAAAGAAAAATAAACTGCACGGTCCCGAGCAGATAATTGAAGAACCAGATTATGCACGTCCGACCAACCAGTCAAAAAGCGAACAGGGATTGCGACACTTCGCGCTAATTAGTCAATGGGAAAACGAATGCAAAAAGATCCGAGCCACTGTAGTCCTTATCCGAATTTAGTCATGGGATTTTGATAAGCGAAGAGTAAAATTACATTTCCTTGTATTCTTGGGGGAACGAGGAAGATAATTATTACAAAGCAAATACGTTGGTATCAAGATTACGGGTTAAAAAGTCGCGCCAACAACTAAACGGGACAACGTATGCAAAAAAATCCGAGCCATTGGAGTCTTTATACGGATTATCACATGGAATTTTGCTAAAACAAGAGTGAAATTACTTGGTCAAAGAAAGAAGATCAAAATTACAAACCAATGTGCAATACCAAGATTACAGTTTAACCAGTCACAATCTCGCATTGTCGAACTAAAAATATAGTGATTCCTCGTCAGAAGACTGTATGTGTTGTGTGTTATGCAATGAGTGCGAACAAGACGATATGAGCGCGACAACGAATGAGTTATTTGAAGGGCATACATTTCGAGTCAAAATCAAAGAAGTCGAAGTTAAATTCATAGCAGATAATGGCCGAGTTTAGCCACAAATTGAATGGCTCCAAAGGTGGTGGGAACAAGTAACAAATCCTTCTGCAATTCGGAGCAGAACATGCCATTGGTAAAAACATCACCATAAAGCCATCAAGACATATAGGACGTTAGTCCTTGGCTCCACTCATCAGGCTGGCCGTGGAAGGTGCCTATATCTAGGTCACGGACAATGGACCCAAACTGTTTCCGGGTCAGGACTACCCGAAAAAATCAGTGCTCCAAAAGACAACAGATCGTTACACTTGATTTGCAACACAAGATCTAGATATCAAAAAATGGAAACATCCTTGGAAAAATACAACCTAAAACTGAATTTAACACAAACACTTAAGAATAAAGTCAACCGGTTGGGTTTATTAACTAAATTCACGGCACAGTCAAAATTTTATCTAACATTTAAATAACATAAGAGTTCTAAGATTTATTTTATCTAAGATTTATTTTATCTTCATGGAATTCAGTTTCGATTACTAATTTCGACTATCTTGTTCGACAAGCGATACAATAATGGCAAAAGAGACCACGTGTAGTCAGTTTCCGGTACTTAGGATACGCTTTTTAACTTACTCGCCACTTGGCGCATCCAACATTGGCGAAAACTCAACTCGGAATAAAGGCATTCTGGAACGCACCGACAAAAAAAACCCTCGTAAATGGGAAAACTGGAAGAATCACGTCACTTTAGCTATTGTCAGGCACAGACATAGAGGAACATCTGCAGGGAAAAACCAACAGAAATTGCACTGCCCGAGCAGCCCATTGAAGAACAGGCTTACGCACCTGCGACCAACCTGTCAATTAGGGAACGGGGGATTGCGACCCTTTGCGCCAATAACTAAATGGAAAAAAATGCAGTAAGATCCGAGCCATTGAAGTTTTTATCCGGATTATCCCATGATCTTTCGCTAAAAGAAGAGTGAACTAAGAATTCCTCAAATTCTTGGAGGCAAAAAGAAGATCAATGTTACAAAGTATATGCGCTAATATCAAGATTACGGGTTAGAAAGTCACTGTTTTAGACTACGGACGGGAGATGCTGGAAGATTTGATCAAAACCCATCGAAACATGGCCATCAACATAATCACACTCCTGTCGAGAAGTCGAGGGGGGGGGAATGAGTGTTGCGATTTATTATATGCTACACTTTGAGATTTGGCTCATGTATGCCCTTTAGTCACATCGCAGGATAGATGGTTAAGTGATATAAAAACAACGTCCTAAAATCACTAAATACCTAAACAAGTCTAGAACTTACAATCAATCTAGCAAAAAAAAAACGTAAATCGAATTGGCAAAAGATGCGAAATACAATACTTTCAACCAAAAACCTGGGAAAAGCCTGGACAAAAAATAATATGAATTGATTCTTATCACAGGATCTAGGTAATAAAATGGGAAAATTTTTGGACAATTGGACAAATGTGACATAAATTGGAGTTGGCACAAACAATTAAAGTGTGAGTCAACAGGTTGGGATTAGCAACTAACTTCACGGTACAATCAAATTTTTGATTAACATGCACAGCCATGCATCAAGAATAGAGACGAAAACAATCAATTGACAAACAAAGGTAGAACAAGAACTACAACGACTACGAAGCATAAACCACACCAAAAAGCCGGAAAAAATCCGAACAATAAGTTCTTTCAAGCTATAACGGTAATAGTTACACTTGATCAAGGCATTAAACTTGCACTAGATTCTAGTTTTTTGAAAGTCACAGATAAAAAAGGTACAGAGCATCGGAAAAGTTTATTGATGACGTTATTTCACAATTTAATACTGATTATTATAGTCAATTAACAATCTGAGGGGACCCGTAAAATAGACGGTGTAATAGTTTGAGGGACGAAAGGCGACAAAAATTTGCGTGTGGGTGAAACTTTATACATAAGTCGAGTTGTGTAGTATTTACATTCGACCATACATTATTTCACAAGTCATTTTGTCAAAACGCAAAAATTTGTTTGTTTTTCTGTGTACGGAACCCATTCAAACTGGAAAATTTTCATGGTTGAGCTATATTAAGATTATTTTTAGTTTATGTCATAGTTGCTTCTTTTTTGGGTGCAGGCAAGCCTTATTGCGTAGGAGTTCGGGCAATTGACGCCTTAGGCAAAAGATATCTGTTTGCATTCCCGTCAGCTGCAAGTTTCCCTGCTTCTATGCTGATTTTTTCGAGGTCCCCCTCGAGTTTGTAGTTATAGGCCTTTTTGAGTCTTTTCTACACTTGTGGGTTCTTTCTCCAACCTTCCACTTTCAACTTGAAAACTTTCTACGGAAGGTCCCATTATAGTGGAAGACATCGGGGCTATTTCTCTCATTACGAGCATATCTGGTTATCATACCTTATCTTCTACAACCAATCGTAACGTCAATTTTTTTTATGATTACTTGAGGTGGGGGAACTCGGAAAGATCCAGTTGTGCTTCCTTGTAAATTGTTTTGATATTGAAAATCTGATCCAACTCTTGAAGATCACGTTGCCTGGGTTTTCCGTCTATTTCTTTACATAAAGATAAAGATCGGATCGACTTTACAATTCCCCCCTTTGGCTTGTACTTAAAATCTCCACCACTGTAAATTAAAACAATTAATTAGCTCTTGGGCATCCTAGCAACAATTCTTTGTTTGCTGCATTATCATTGGTCGGAAATCATCATTGGTCACTATCTTTTTATTTAGAAGGCACCAGTTATCGCATTGAAGAATTTTTTCCTTTCGATTTTTCATCAAAATAACGAAAAGACAATCAATTTTTTATCAAAATAAATTGCAAATAAAATTGATCTGCGGGTCTCGTCTTATCAATTTTTTTTGTTAACGCGCTTGCCCATTTGATCATTTACGTGCTCTTTTTGTGGTAGCTCAGTCGCGTGGAACACTAATCTTAGGTTAATGGTACCTTTTAGTGGTTGAAAAAATCTGGGTCAGAAACCACAATGGCTTTTCAATAAAAATTTATGCCTAGGTTTGAAGCAAAAGAGGAGCTGAGTTTGCGCTAACTCGTGGGTAAACGAAGCCGTTTATGAGCTTTCAAAATCAGTAGTAGCTTTTAAAAACATTAGTGGCTTATCATTCGATCTTATTTAGTTCTTGTTTAAGGAATCAACCGGTTAAAGCTGAGAATAACGAACCGAGTGACAAAGCGGAGACGCCGATGCTTCTAAATGATGTTTCAAACAAAAACATCAGCACCATTTTTGACAAGGAGACACCTAAGATTGACTACACTTGGAAAGACTTGGCCCAATCGATCAACAAATTTGCATCTGTAGTCCACATATCTGCTATCATCATGTTCTCAGCTTATTTCAACTGCAGAATGCGCCAGATTATATGATATAACATCAACTTCGCTCAGCAAATACTCAATTTTCTTCGGCCACTCTTTTGACCGCCTCTGATTTTTGCTAAGAAACTATCCTGTTGTTTATTTCGAACCGATATTATCGTTATTTTGAACATTAATCATGAAAATTAGCAAAAAAAATCGCTGTCGAAAAAATTCTGCAAGGTAATGTAATTAGAAAATATTAAAATCAAAAATAAAATTAATTGCATGATAATATACTTCCTCAGAACTTTCCAGACAATATTGCACATTGTTCAAGCATAATGATATCAATTTAACCATCAAGTCTAAAGTCGCTCAGATATCAGATATGTATTCAAAACTCCATTATATCTAACGTTTTAACACAGACAGTATTAAAAATGATTCGGGATCTTTTTCTCGTTCAATTCATCGGGTCTTCATACATCAAAGTTTAAAAAACAAGTACTAAAGCATATTTAGATTCAGTTCAAGTCCAGTCAGATATTTTGTTCACATGAATTCTTTGTCGGCTCTCGCCACTCTGGACCTGACTTCTGCGAAATCCAGGTCTCCTTTGTCGTTAGCTTGTATCTCCGTGGTGAATGAGATACCTTTGAGGGCCTTCTTGAAAGCGTCTTTGCTCGTCGAGTAGATCATCTTCATCTTCATCTTGCATGTGTCCGGAACCCAGCAGAGAAGAATCATTTTCTCCCGCTTTCCTCCGTCATTCAGAAAGTAGTGGAAATCGTACGTAAAAAACCTGAATACGGATAGGTCAATGATCAGAACAGCTTAAAAACTTCAGCTAAATGAACTTCAAAAACCTGCACACGACTACGATTTAGCTTAATTTAAAAAATTTTTATATTAAAAACTCGGCGTTGGATACCCAGAATGAAGCGGTAGGTCTTTAAAACTAAACACCGACACTTTCATGGAGGGTCGCTAAGATCATTTGATCACAATCGAAGATAAAATTAAGTTTTGAAAGTTAATTCCCAGTAAATGACCCTTGAAAACAGGCATTTTAGATAGTAAAACCCAAACTTGAGTTTAATTTTGTCCACTTCTGTATATATTATATTAAAAAAGTTTTTTTACCACTAATTAACTTTTGATATTGGAGCGTAATTTGCCTTCATTCCAGCAAACAAATTTGATTTGAACTGAAGAAATCATTAGTCAAACCGCGGAAATCACTATTGAGCGTGAAAACCGTGGACCAAAATCAGCTTATTTGAGCATTTTTTTTGTCCTTTGAGCATAAGAAAGTTTCAGAACAAAATCATCACTATATAAATCTTATGAACACGTTTAAGTTAACTATCTACCTTGGCTCGTCTCCGCCTATTGAGAACATGGCGAACTTGTCCCAGTACTTCTGCTCGTCCGAGCTCTTGTCCATTTTCACGGCTGGAGCAGTCTGGTCCACCACTATACTAGTCATGTCATCTGACACCTACAGCAGAATAAGGGTATGATTAGTATAAGGGGATGAAAAAAGGCACATCTGAGAGTGATAAACAATCACCACGATTTATGTCGTCACTGCGGTTATTGTTACTTAAAAACCCCACCCACTATAAAAAACCAATTCAATGGTTGAGCTTATGCGGATTTTGTACTTAGTAACGAAATCCTCCCTTTGTCATTAGGGGGAAATGGCTAGATAGATCCATTCAATTTAAATATACTCTAGGTTGAAACCTTTTTCATTAAAATACCAAATTTAAAAAAACGGATAATGGGTATTTGTTTATTCTGCTGGGAATTCTTAAGTTCAATTCGCGATTGAAATAAAGCCCAGTAGCATTACTATTTCTGATATTAGCATTCAGCGTATTAGAGGTCGTCTAGCTCAACTTGGAAAATAAAATTGAAATCAGGTAAATTCGAAGTAATCAAAAGTCAAAGCGCCATGTAGAACAGCGGAAAAACTTTACACAGAGGTGCTGCAAAGTTGATCGCATTACTGAATTGTGAGATGTCTGTAAACAAAAAATTCAGCTATATCGGCTTTGCTTCATTTGCAATAAAAAAAAATAAATGACTAAGATTAAGAGCAGATGAATCGAAAAATGAAAATTAAACCTTCAATCGTTTTGTCAAACAATCAAAATGATTGTCAAAAAACTAGAATCGCAAAAAAAAATTGGAGCACAGTTACCTGCATCGTTGAAAATTAAACAAATAGCATTTGAAATGTTAGCGAAAAGCTTAACGCTCGAAGAAAGTCAGTTTTGTGGGAACAAAGCCCAAAAAATAAGCAGACAGACGAACCCAAATTTCACAAAAATCATCTTTTTGTCCCAACCGGACTCGAACCACTGGCCTTTTTCTTCTCAAGAATGGGTGCTACCACTGCGCAGAATGATATTTGAATTTATAAAAACGCAAATAAAGCACGTATAACGTTTTTACATGCGAATTTTGTGAAAGTTTTTCTTTATGGGAAAAAGTCTAGTACCCGATTGCAACACCCGTGCTTACCACAAAGCAGACAAAGGTAAAAACTTGAAGTATCATATGACTTCGCTTTTAAATTAAAATCAATGGTTTTACAAGCACACGTTACCTTGTAAGACACCCATTTGTAGACATGTCTCAGTACCTGCTCCGAACACTTGTTGTACACATCTTCGTCGATGTTAATGCCACTCGACATCTTTTTGCTATTCTTCTTTGTAAAAATATGTCCAAACACTTGGTTCAATTTTTCTAATCGATGCAATTTCAGAAAGGTATGAGATAACGTTTCGAATTAGTTACAGGAATGGTAAAATGGTTTTCCTAAAATAGCACCAGCAGAAGATTGCCTATAGATTTTGGTTATTGCACTTGCCTCGTCCAATTAGTGATATGTCAGGTCAAACACAATCTTAATAGACTATCTAATCTGAAAATATATAACAATATAAGTAGCTTGCTACTTCAAACGATTTCAGATCTCATAGAATATTTTAGTTTTAAAAAACTTTAGGGCTCAAGTACATTTTATTGACATCGACTACACTTTTATCATGGCCGGCAATAACGTATTCACAGAATTAAAAGAGTCTACAATAGTTATTCGAGGTCATCGTCATCTTGCAATACAGCTTTCGGCTTAGCCGTCGCCGGCCTTGCAGACGATGGAGCTTGCATGCCAATGACCGGCACTCCTGATGCTTTCATCATATCACGTGCAACTGACGGGTACTTTTCAGCCACCGCTTTTAAAACCTCAGGGGGTAAGCTGTGCTTTAAAAGGTTCAAAATTTGATTCGGCTGACCGCTCGCTACAACTGCATTGGCTAAATGAACCACAGCTTGTTCAATTTCTCCCCGCATTAAAAGCTCCTCTCCTTGTTGAATTTCCTCTAAGAAAAATCTTTGCATAGCAGCCTCATCTCTCAGATCAGGGTACTGGGTTGCATTCTTTCGTTCTAGTTCTTGCCGTTGTTTTTCACGCTTCGCTTTCAGCTTCGCTCTGAAGTCGGGAGCGCTCCGTCTCTTTCTGTCAAAATATACACAGTATGCCAGAAAAAGGCTGCTAGATACGCCCACCAGTGCTAATTGAGTTTGTGCAGAAATCATTATATTGTACTTTTGTGAATCATTATTGTCTGAAACGACTCATCTTCTAATTGAGACATAATTCCAGAAACACATGTCAGGCTTTTGGTGAAAAATAATAATTTTAGTACCTCTTTTCTCTGTAACTTTTCGATGACAGCCAACAGCATCTTCAAGAAAGTTTTATCTTGTCATCCAACAATGAAAGACTAAAAAACTAGGCTGAGGTGGAGCACGTTTAACAGTGAGTTGATCTGAGCCCGTTTCACAACTACGTCTATAGAAACAGGAATCACTTAACGCATTATTGATTTACTTGAGATCTCTTCTGTACAAAAAACTAAGCAATTTGAAGAACCTTTTTTTTCAAAATGATTAAATATACGACACATTTATTCTGCTAAACAAAGTTAAAATAATTCAAACAAAGAAACGTACTTTCAGAGCAATTTGCACTGCATGATCCGACCAAACGATTCTCGATTAAAAATGATTTTCTTTTTTTTCTCTAGAATTCAAATGAAGAAACTTTTCAATGAAGATTTTGAGTCACAGTAGAGTAAAAAATTGATACCAATTGGATAAAATTTGTCAAACCAAAAATTTTTTCATTCAAGCTTGGCAAAAATTCGGCAAGTCGACAACTGGTAATAAGCAACGATTCGTGATGAGGTATTTGGCAAGTATCAAACGCTTGTTCGTCTTCGCTGAGCTGCGCTAACATTCGCGAGGATAGTGCGCGTGAATCTGTTATGTTACGAGTTGTTGCGTAGAGTTCTTCTGGTACAAGTTTTTGCAAATAAAGTTTAAACAACTAGGGTTATTTTTTACCTACTTAATTGGTCGGAACAAAAACTATTCAATAGCGCTAAATCAAATGACAAAATATCGAGTATAAAATTTAATCACTACAACTACGAAAACTAATCATACTTTAAGTTAATTTAATATAAATTAGCCACGTTGAGACCTTATTACTAAAGCTGATAAATGAAGTTGGAAAGCATATATTCTGATAATCTACTAATGCCTTCTTTTTGACAGATAATACAAAGGTTTAAATGATCTCTTCTTGCGTCAGTCAACAATATTCATCCCCATCTGAGCTTGAATCATCAAATGAAGTAATTCTTGGCGAGAACAGAGATGGCAAATTGTCTCCAGAACACGCCCCTAGTCCGTCGACCTCGTTTACCTTGATTTCGCCGAATTTTACTCGGGACGGTGTCAACTCAGTTGCATCGCCGTCGGCATGGAAAGATGTTGAGCTCTCGCGTAAACACGACTTCAGAGCTGTTTCAGTTGTCAGCGATCTCCTAGGAGTGACATTAGCCGAGCTATCGGATGCTATAAAAACAAAACAACCCATAGAGGCCAGACTTTCGGAGAAAAGAAGGATGTGGGCCGGCTAAAGTTTTCCTCCCAACAGATTTCGATAAAAACAAAAGTGTATGCAGTAGCGTGTTTAGGAGGCCAGGTCACCTAAATGGACACCCGGGCCACCTGAATAGTATCCTCCGACACTATTTTACGACAGTCATTTTAGGCTGACTAACCCTTAAAATTTTCAGAAGGCACCTTTGTGCGAGCCAATTTATACTTTTGCGGGTAAACAACATTTTTTTAATTTGCTAGAAAAATTCAGCTAAAAAACGACATTCAATGTTTTGGGAAATCTCGGAAAACAAATTTCTTCCATCATAAAGAAGATCGACAACTTTCTCGACATTTTTTCTGATAAACCGAACCACGAACCTCCCCTCAAGAAAAAACTTTATCCACGCCTATTCACGTGTCATCCTTTTCCATACTTCTATGAGCTTTCGAAATGGCTGACTCCAACTTCTAAATTTACATAAAGCTACGTGTGAATCGGAACATGGCTTTTAAAAAAAACTTCTGCAACTGAATTGCAAATTATTTTTAAAAAAAAATAGTCTGTTTTTGGGTGAATGACAAGGAGACCGATGTGATCCAGACAATGAACTTAATAAACAATTATGAGAGACGCTAGAGCAACCAAAGCAGACGCAAGGCACCCAATTAGAAGAAAATTAATAGCCAAATATTGAATCTCTATTTCAACAGTAGATCTTTTGTTCGCTCGATTTGAGGGCAGGCAATTTATGTAAAAATCATTCGTTTATTGCCTTGACCGTTCAATTACCCGCCCAAATTCCTTCATTTTATTCGTTATGGAGTCCTCTATTTAGATCAGACACGTCTCCATGTCATTTTCCCCGCTTATTATTTCAATAGTTTGAATGCAAGATAGCGGCACGAATCAGCATCAACCTCATACAATGTTGAAACCATGTCAAGCACTAGACATGTTCTATCAAGTGTTGAACATTTAAATTTTTCAGCCAGTTCTTCAAAGAATTTTTTTGAACTGTTTTTTGAACGAAAAGTCGTCTTATTTCAGATACACTGCTGATTTAAATTAACCGGACTCAACGAACAATATTTGAAAATTCGAGCACGTTTTTCTCGAATTAGGATAAGATCAGACAAAATCTGAAGAGATCAGAAGTTGCTTAGAATTTAATCAGAATTAATATGGTGCATTTTCCCCCAAAATTCTTAATCAAAATTTTACCCAAAAATGGGTCATTTTGGTTTTCTAAATTAATCAAGAAAAAAATGCTGAAACATCATTCAAAAGGTATTGTTGCCCTGAGCTTAAATATAAAAAAGATATATTATATTTCGTGATTATATTTCGTAACGTTATGAGGGTTTAAAGATTGCCATTTTGACCAATTTGGGATGATTAACGCGCGATATATATCGCCCTATTAACGCGTAAGCGGAGATTTCATCCGTCTTAGAAATCGTTCCAAATACTTTATATGGCGCGTTTTAAAAATTCCGAATTAAAAAATAAATTTTATTACATTTTTTTTGCTATTACTGCTCCATAGACCTTAAAAAGGCAGTCGCAACATTCAGAGCTTCACCCTGTTACGAGCAGTCTTGTTTATTTTTCTTAGTTCATTTATGCAACAAACTTTCTCGTCGTAGTTCGGTATCATTCGTCCTAATTATGTTATTAGACGAACGAATGATCCAAAATTTTTGTCTTATATATTGAGGTTGCATCTGAGAAAACACTCCGGTGTTTTTTATTAGGCTCTACGCCCTTAGTCTGATCTCATAAGAAGAAAAAGACAAGCCTGATGAGAACTCGACATCTTTCTTTTCAGTAAAAGTGAAACTTTAAGCCTTCATCCTTTCAACTACAGCATTGCGTCTTTTTCTACCTTGTGATCAATTCTGCTATGCACTGGTATAATGTCTTGATTTGCAACCGTTCCAAGAACACCTTTCAAAACTTTTTGCATGACTTGCTAGAATAGTGATTTTGCGTTCTCAAAGTCTCTTTATTTTGTGTAGTCCTTTTGAGGTATTAGCCGAGTAAAACAATTGAGATTGTTCATATAATTTTATTTGGCAAAACGCATCTGAAAAATCAATTTCCGCAAATCTTTTTCAGCCTTCAATCTTTTCTCAATGCAGAGTAGAACAAGTTTTCAATTTTGATCTTTCAAAACATGAACTTTGTAATCAGCACACATCCTTGGTTGACAATTTTTTCTTAACCCATAAAAGAAGAGATGCATTTGTACGATCAAAGATCACCTGGTTCTTCTGGCCCCAAAATGTCTTTTCACAAAGGTATTAATTAATTTTTCGACCTTTGTCTCCGATGGAAGTAGATTTCGTCCTCAAAGGCAAACTTTGCGCGCTGCATTTGACATAAGCTTCAAATCCTTCGATCATCATCAGCATTAAAGATCATGATAAATGGTTATACATATCTGGATATTTGCGATAATTGTCATCCACTGGCAATTCAGTTGTTTTTTAGCAAAATTAATTTATGTTTGATATTAGCCATTCAGCAATAAAAAGAACAAGAGTCATGTAGGTTAAGGACCAGTACTTCGGTTTAATTTCTTTGGTGTTACTTGGTGCTTAAAAAGAAAAGTATATCTTAACAAGAAAAGTGATTACGATCTAATTTTGAAACTATTATGATCTTTTAGTTGGTCTAAAAATAGAACACATTCACCCCAGTTTTTCTTGACTTTAAAGAAACAAATCTGCACCCGAATCACGACTTCATTCGAGTCAAGAAAAGGAATCATAATAACGTCTGCATCCAAATTACGAATGATGACGAGTTTGATATCACACTTAAAAGCAAAGGTATTTTCATTTGCGTAACTCTAATTTGCATGAAAAAAACACCCCAAAATTTCTTCTCAAAATAAGGGAGATGATTGGATCAAAAATCATCTTATTAAGCTTCATGAAAAACCACCAAAACCATTAGACATATTGAAAACTGTTTCAGGTCTCAATGAAACCAAATAAAAGATCATTGACCCTATATAAAACGCAGACGAGTTTCATAACTTGGTACAGTCAAACAATATTCAAATGGCCTCCTCTTTCTCATTTTACCAAGTTGCATCATTTTTACATCTAGATCGCCTGTTTATTCTTCATCAAAAGACTGCGCCAGCCTTTACTTCTCCTTCAATATGGAGATCAACGAGGAGCTCCTTGTAAAACTGGACAAAACACCCCTACCCTTGGTGAGGCACCTCAAATAACGCGGTGTTTTCTTTCACCCACCCCCGAGCTTCGCAGAGCACGTAAGTAAGTGGTCACCAAAAGCATCGCGCACCATAGCGATCCAGAAGGCCTCAACTAGGACAAAATGGGGGCAGTCAAAAGAGACATTAATTGGTTTAACTACAAGGCTTTTGTCACAAAAACTTCAGATTAAGCATTCCCAGCATGGTCCCACGTCTCTGAGCAAATTTCAAATTGTTCAAAACGCGGCTCTCCGCGCTATAACGGGTTGTGCAAAAAATGAGTGCTTCAGAACACTTCGATTCTGAATGTAGCATTTTAAAAGTTTGACACCATCATAAAGTAATTTCCGCGCAGTTTACCCTCAAAACCTATATCCCTTCAAACCCTCTACTAATCATCATTACCCCAAATCTTTCCCCGTAACATCCGTCCGAAAACATTTGAGATATAAAATCCCGGATTAGAAAATATCCTCCAAGACAAAGAAAACGCAACTTTTACTACTTTGAACGACTCTAGCGAACTAAGTTCTTTCGCCTCTTAAAATTACAAATTGACTTTGAAGCAACCAAACACTATGTGCCGAGCAGTCTATTGCAGATGCGCCTCACAGAAAGCACTTCTACTCAAAACCCCCGATACCTCCCCTTCTGAAGAACCCTTCCCTCGCGTCACCAGGCGAACCCTTGCCCAATTAAGATCCGGCTATAGTCCCTTATTACTTGCTTTAGCAGAATATACCCCATGACCCTCCAAACTATCCTTACACTACTTCCCCTTTAGACCTTTTTAACTGTTTCAAGGACACCGCTACGCGCCTCCCAGGGTCTAACACACAGTTAGACTGATAGAAATTAAACGCATTAGTATTAAAACAAGCAAACAAAACCAGAATCGCTTTTATATTTCGTTGACCCTAAAAAATACTTTTCTTTGAAATGCTTCAATTCCCAAATTTTAAAGAAAAAATGTATCTCCTTAAAGCTATTTGAATTTCAAGAATTCTTATGATAGACACCCGTTTGAAATAAATCCAAAATTAAAATAAATCCAAAATTGTAACACAAAAAAGAACGTATTTTGGAGCCTCTAGTAATGAAAACATTAATTTTAATCGCCCTATTCAAAAACAAATTTAGACTATTTATCAGGACACGCTTCTTTTTGTAAAAAAAAAATCAGGACGCATTGAAACAGCAAGAATTAAGCCGCTAAAAAACTGAAATCGATTTTGTAATTTAGAAAGGCATTGACCCTTTAATTGAAGCTGTTCACACTCGGACTTTATTATAGAAAGTGGCCAACTCGAGTTCTTGCCAAATTGCAAGAATTGTTAGCCATCGAAAAAAAATTGAAAACACTTCGTTCAATATCACTTAACTGCGTAGAGAAAAATAAGCTACACACCATTGGAGTCGATGATATTTGAAGATAGATTGATAGTATACGAAGCTGGTTTTGTATCTCCACTTTCCTCGTTCTCAGCTTCTAGGTCGTATGAAATGATTTCATCGTCACTGCAGGTATCGGAAGAAGAAGCATCGCTGTCTTCGTCCTTCTCTATTTCTTCTGCGTCACTGTTCTCATTTTCTTGGCCAAGTTTAGCTTTTCCCTGCTCTTCGCATATCTCATTTTCTTCTATACAAATTCCGTTAGCTTTTTCTGCGTGTTTGGCAAGATCCATGGTAAATTCAGAGTTATTATTCAGAAGTCCATACTGACTTTTTTGATTTGGTAACATCAGATTTGATATTTCCGGACTATGTTTGATATGAATATCTTCAAAATCCAAATTAGTTGTCAAATTGGAATCTTTCTCCAAAAGTGTTTCAGGCTGCGTTAAGCTTTCCTTGCAACAGTTGCTGTTTGACTGAATTTCACAAACTATAGCTTCTTTTTCTATACCACTGCCTAATGCGCGCTTTTCATAATTCACTCCAATTGATACAGTACTGCTATAATATGTAGTTAATCCTTCAGGACAAAATGGCGCGTTTCCATTAGGGACTACTTTCTTTTCAACTGCGCTATTGCTGTCGATCAAATCATTTTCAGGCAAGGTTTCAACGGATTTAGATTCAATCGAGTCAGTTTCGTTTCCTTTCGAAGCGAGATCATCCTCTCGGTATTCACAATCACGTTGCTTTTTGAATTGCTCAACGTTAATGAACTGAACAACCTCTTCGTTCACTTCATTATATTTCGATAAGTACTTTCTGTCATACCATTTGAACAGCATGATCATTACTGCCATAATCAAGAGCGGAATAAATATAGGGCCTGAATAATCCCACATATAAATATAAGCCATATGCACCAAACGAAATAATCTCATTCCAAAGCTATTTCAAACTGATTCGGTTGTGATATTCATTAATGTCATTTAGTTTTGATACTCCCCTGGTCAGTCGAAGTAGACTCAAAATTGTGACACAGCGAGAAACTATTCAAAGCAGCATTGAATCAGTCTGTGGCAACATTTGTGATCTGAAGAATGAAACCAGAGTAAACACAAGGTACTTAAGCAAAATGGTACTTTAAAATTATATTACAATACCGTGGTCAAAAATCTCGAATATAAAAGTTCGGTTGTTTATTTTCTCAATAAAACTGATATAATGAACCCTGTACTTTTCAGTGATGCCTTAGAAGGCAAAATCAAGCATTAGAATGCCTTTTTAGCTTTCACTGAGCCCTGGTGCGAGATTTTTCTACACAGAGGCGAAGCAGAGCTTCGCGCCACTTGCGATACAAAACGAACATCAAAAGCCGAAAAAAAATGAAAATTTTTGAAGAAAAAGCTAGGTCAAATAAATTTTTATATGACTCGATAGAAGTTCATTCCAGGCAAATATGTCAGACACTTCAATTTTAAAACAGCAACAACGGCACAACATTCAAAAAAGAAACAAAGCCGACAACTTTTGATCAGACACAAGTTGAGCAAAAAAAATGATTTTATAAAAAAAAAACGTCCCGACTTTAACAACAATGGACAACACTTGCACCTGCAATTACAATGAAAGTTGTTTACAGCACAGGAAAAATCAGTGATCCGGCAACTAAGCCGACAATCTTTCAGCAGACACAAACTGAACGAAAAAATATTTTATGAATTTTTTAAAAAATCGTCCAAGTCCCCCCTCTGAAATTAGAACGAACAACACTTGCAACTACAATGAAAATTGTCTACAGTACAGCAAAATCCGTTGTGACAATTTAGACGACAAAAGTTGCGCGAACAAATGGAAAACCAACAAAAAAAATTTTCAATCTCCGTGATCTGAAAAAAAAAACAAGAACCGTCCACGACTTGAACCCCATAGCGTACAAAGGCAACTGAGTTGCCTCGAGGCCAAGGGGTAGCAACTTGGAATGTTAATAAAAGATAATATATCTGAGAAGAAGTCAGCTGCATAGAAAAGAAGTCAGCTGCCTTTTTCTCCTCCTCTTCAGCAAGTGATTCAACTGAATTTGTTAATTTTTTTTTGGTAATCAGGCGAAAAGTATTTGAAGCTAACTTAGTCTAGACATCTTTAAAAAAAACTATTAGAACTTTAACTTCGACAAAGGATTTTCGGCCTGTTTAATTTTTGATGATTGTTGACGTGAACCGAGTCAACGTGAACCGAGTCTGATTAAGAAACAGCCGCTTCAATTGTACAGAAAAAGAAAAAAGTGAATAGTTGAAACATCATCACTAATTATTTGGGCGAATTAACGAACACAACTATCGGAACAGACAGGATCGGCTCTCAATCAACGTCAGATTCTTTTTGCTGAGATTAGCAGATAACGGTGAAATCAAAGATAGTCACAAGCTCTGTATTCAATCAAATAGTTGACGAATTTTTACTTATATTCTACATTATTTTTGTCTGTTGAAAGCTAATCCACCAACTAGAGAGAGTTGCAAGAAGTTAGAATACATATAATTTATTCAAAGACCTTTTTCGGAAAAATTTGCACCACTCTCCCAAAATTACATAGCGACACAGAAAAAGTCCCTATAGACGACTGGTTGACCGCATTTGACTCATATAGTTTTGTTCAAAACCCCTACAAAACAACAATTTCCATCGATTGAAGTTTTTACGGAAATGTCAAAGCAATGACATAATACCAGATTTTTTGAGATTTCGGGTGCCAGAAAATGGGGTTTTTTCGGACCAAGCCGTGCATAGCTTTCAATTAAAACTCCTAAGAACAGAGATAAATCAGGCAAGGTCAGAAGAGAAGAAGATAGACGATGATCTAGCTAAGGCAAGAGAGGTAGTGCGGAGAGGGATAGATGAACAATTGTGGCCTTCAATAGCATTTTATCTAAAGCTCCAGGCTAGAATTGCTATCCATGACATCAAGGATAGACATGAAAAGAAGTTAAAAAAGCTAGCAGAGCGGCAGGACAGACCGTTAATGAAAGTGAATGACAAATATCGGTCAGAGCACTAGATGGCATTGAGCTACCCAAGTGGGTTCATGAAGTGTTAGGTTTTGGCCCAAAGCACCCGGTGAGGGATCGTTTCAATGAACTTCACTTTCTTGCGGACATTGATAATTTTTTATCTGAGCTTAAATCGCAAAAGGTACCAGGTGAAAAATTATGTGAAATTGAAGCTGCTGCAAAATCATACGCTAAACGTGTGCGGCAAACACCGTCGGATAGAGGGATTGAGAAAGCCAGGAAGTATTTGAAGGACAATGGTCTCTTGGCAGTCCCATTCGATAAAGGTGTTGGCTTCTGTGTAATGAAGAAAACGACATATGAGGCTAAACTAACTGAGCTGCTGCAATCGGAACAATTTAGCGAAAAACCAGGTTTAACTGATAGTGTTGTTATGAAAATTGAGAAAGACATCAACAAAGAACTGTTGGCCATGAAAAAGAAAGATGAGATCGATGAGGCACTGTATAGTAGGCTTAGGTCCACGGGAGGGCAGCCAGCTCGATTATATGGATTGGCTAAAGTACATAAGAAAGGAACCCCTCTCCGTCCCGTACTGTCACTGCCAGGGAGCTCATATGAACATCTAAATAAAACTTTGGCCAAATTTTTTGACAACATTGAGGGGGCAAACATTGAGACAAACACACAAATGGCTCGGGAGATCATAGAGAACATAGATCTAGACTATAATGAGAGTATTATCTCCCTGGATGTCAAAAGTTTGTACACTAATTTCCCACTAAAGGAGGTAATAGATATAGCACTGAGGAAACTGTACGAACAAACTAGTCCTCCTAAACTGGCACGCGGAACTATGAAGAAATTGTTGAACATGGCTGTAAGTAAGGTGCACTTCAAATGCAATGGTTTATGGTACGTACAAAAGGATGGGTTTGCAATGGGTGCATCCCTTGCTGTCATTCTTGCCAATTTATGGCTAAAGGAGTACGAATATGCATTAATGAAGGAAGTACCTGCGTTGACACAGCTAAATGAAAACCGGAATGGCCCATGCCCTGATTGCGAGCGGAGGGTAACATACAGAAGTAAGGGGATCGAATGCGAAGCTTGTTTAAATTGGTAACCATTTAAAGTGTAGTAATGTATCCGAAAAAGAATATGAGCAAATCTCAGAAATGGTTTGGTATTGTAAGAGATGTAAAGAGCAGCGAGATCAAGAAAAACCAACAGAAAATGTCAAAGCGTTCCTAAGATATGTAGATGATATAGTGAGGACGGTAAAGGGGGATCCAGATATAGTGTTAAAAGCAGCTAATGAGCTCCACCCCAACTTACAATTCACTATCGAAAATCCGGATTCGAACGGAGACTTAGCCTTTCTAGATTTGAACATTAATGTGGACTCACGAAAAAAGGTAACAAGTGGATGGTATCAAAAACCAACGGATACTGGGACTATCCTTAACTTCAGAAGCTGCGCTCCATTGCAATATAAACGCAGTGTAGTTGAGGGTACTGTTCATCGGATTTTTAGAAGTACATCAACATGGGAAAACTTTGACAAGGCAATGAAGATTAATAAAGAACAATGGGTGGATAATCAATACCCTGAAAAATGGTCAGATGGTGTCGTATTAAGAACGTTGAATAAGATCATCGACCGAAAAACTGACACACGAACAACGGTAACATCAGTCAAGGAAGATCCTTTAAAGGTCAGTGCACCCATTATAACATTACAATACCGGGGTAATGCATCAGAGTGGTTTGCTGCCAAACTGCGTCAAAACGCCGGAGCCCAAGTGATATTTACTACGAGAAAGCTCAAGACTTGCCTACCGTCCCTTAAATCTCCCTCCCGAAAGCTCACATGTAGTGGATGTAATTCCACCTATGTTGGACAAACGGTCCGGCATTTGACCACGCGGATTGAAGAGCATCACAAGGAAGATTCACCAGTAGGGCAACATTTGAGAGAATGTGACAGGGATGGTAAGAGCGCTGAGCTTAAGTCTGAGATTATAGATCAGTCAAGTAACATACAGAAACTCCTCACTCTGGAGGCCTTACATATTTGGAAAGAACGCCCCAGAATTAACACGCGCGAGTAGTTCAGGAGCAGGGAGCTGACATTAAAATTATAGTACATGTTTAAACATGACTAAAAATTGCAATTTTTGAAAAAATAAACTGACATGTCAGTTTGGATAAAACATCAAATCGAAAAATTATGATTCAAGTAACAAAAAAGTATGGAAATTGTCATAATCGATGAAATAATGATTACGTAATAACAGATGTAAGAATGTGATTGGTTAAAAATTTCTAACATGTTCTTTTTGAATTTCATACATGATCTTTGATCATTTTATTGTAAATAAAAAATTTTATATCCTGACGATGCACAAAATGTGCGAAAACGTTTGAATTAACAATTTTAAAAAATTCTTACCCCTACATATGTAAATCAAATTTCTGTATCTGGTTAACAGCTGGATTTGTCAAAACTTATGACCGATTGCTACTGAATTATTAAATAATTATTAATTAGTTTCAAACAAAACTTGAAAACAAAGAGAAACAGTCGTGGCACCTATTATTGTTATCGGAGCTAGTTCTCTGAACAGAGCCCTATTCCTGGTATGCATCGGACGGTTCCTGTCTCAGTTCCATTGCAGGTCTCAGTTCTCAAAACCATTCCAGGTCTGTTCTCACCAGTAAGCTGAGACCAAAAAAGAGTTGTTCAACAAAATGTTTGGAATGCCTCCAGGGCAGGGGCTCTCATTGCTTTCTGGCACAACGTCATCAACAAGTGTAACGAAGCATCTAAGAAAGAAGAATCAAGTCCCACAGAAAACTGAACAGCTTATCGAGAAGATTCACGATAACCCAAACAAATTTGAGGTTATATTTACGTGCAATCAACGAGAAGACGCCCCCGAAGACATCTTCGAAGAAATGTTAACAACCAAAACTCTATATTTCATCTTTAGAAAGATCTTCTGTCCAAATCCAAACAGAAGGAAGAGGAACGTACATCTTCCTATAAGAAACTGCATATTAAGCCGCCTCTGGAAATTGAAGTTCTGTTAGCTACTAGAAGTTTTGGTTACATCAAACATATGTCTCAAACTACCGACAAATAAGTCTGCTAACAGTTATCTCAAAAGTGTTAGAAAAATTAATTTTCGAGAAAATGATTTCATCAGTAAAATTCAGCATCTCAAACTCACAACACGGCTTCCGACAAAAACGATCTACTGTTACAAACCTCATTGAGTATCTCCATGAGGTATATACTTACTATGATGATATCGAAGAACGTTGTTTCTTGATAATCGGGGAGGAATTTCAGACAAGTTCTCCGAGAAACTGCGGAGGATTGCAGATGGGCCGGTCGTTTCTGAGACAGTGACAAGATTACTGGACCCAACATCGAAGAAGGCGCAGAATAGGGACAGCGGCGACAAGAAGAAACACCGAAGAACGTTGTTTCTTGAGTATCGGGGAGGAATTTCAGACAAGTTCTCCAAGAAACTGCGGAGGATTGCAGATGTGTCTGCTATTTTCACGACCCAAAAGTTGCCGAATGTGTTACCAGCTCTAAAATGCCAAGTACCGCCAATGCTCAATAGTGGAGTGGTGTATCAAATTGATTGTTCTGGCTGTCGGGCCAGCTACATCGGTAAAACCGATCGACATTTTGCCACTTGGCTCTCAGAGCATCTCAAGCGAACATCTCCACTAGGAGAGCATTTTCTGAATTGTGTCGGGCATATGAAAGATGTGTAGAGCAAGATCGTTGATAAGACGAGGTTTTCCGACAAACTTTTATCTTTGGAAGCTATCTATATCGCACAACTGGACCCGCAGTGTGACATTCGACCAGAATGGCCAAAATGCAATCTCTGCAGAATTAGGAATTTTAGCAGTAAGCCTTCCGGATTGGTGGTTTTTAAGAACTAAGGGCGTTATTGGAACGTTTAGCCAAACGGTGAGGGCTGGAATATTCTAGTATTTTAAAATTTCAAAAATTCGAATGATGACGTCACATTTCTGAGAAATGCTGAAACGGCCATTTTAACAAGAAACGAGAAAAGAAACACAACAACATTAGTTGCGCTGACGAGAACAACTTTATCGAAATTGAAGAAATCGAAATTGAAGAAAACGACAACGAATAGCAGAGGACGTTCCGAGTTGCAACTATTGTGCTGCTACAATAGTTGCGAGGCCGTTGCGAGCAACGGTGAAGGGTAAGAGACAGCCTTCCGTGTTATTGTGAAATCGAACTTAAGGAGCTTGATTCAGTGGATTCACAAATCCGGAAGGGTTTCGGGACTGAAACTTTTAGCCTATTATATGAACTTTTAGCATCCTGTCATGTCCTGACTTGAATTTAATTGATATTTGGATTAGTTTTGAAAGGGATGAGGTGCTAGGAATTGGGGGAAAGGGTTGATCCATCTTCGATGGAGATGATGATTTTTATCTACTGAACAAAAACAATAGTAATATAATAAGTAGTAGCCCTGTTTTTAGGAGTAACCTCGTGGTCTGGGGATACTGAGACCCAGCCATGAGCTCACTATTTGCATGTAATTAAGTTTATTTGAGCGTTCTGGTCGAAGCCTGAGTGGTTTGTGACCAAAAACACTTAAAGATATAAGTAAAACCAAACAAAAAGTAGTATAGTACCCAAGAAAAACAAAAAACAAAAAAAATAACCAAAAAAACCAAAAAAAGTTAAAAAAAAAAAGTAAAAAATCAGTAGCAATCATCACCCCAGACAAGATGTGATCCGACCCCCCCGTTTGTTGTTGATAGATATATTGTTGTTACAGGCATTTATATCAGTCAGGATCGTTACGATCAGTTTTGTAGCCCGTTTGTGAGGCTTGTACTGTAGGGTTCTTTGAGCATTTAAGCACGTTAATGATAAATTGCGCTCAATCCGGAAGGGTCAGCTGATTTGCGCTCAATTCGGAAGGGTCTTGGGTGAAGACCGATCCGGCAAGCAGTACAAGGAGCAACAAGAAGGGGCTCAACGACAACAACAATCGACTGTTGGGTATCGTTAACAAGTTTTGTATCCCTTTTGGTACAAAAAGTAAGATAGTAATCTGTGGGGGGCTCGACAGTGCTGCACTGTAGTGACCCTTCACCGAACTGCGAATATCCGAGTTAAGCACCTTAATTCGGATATTAAACAAACCCGGAGGGGTATAGTATTACTAATATTATTATTTATATAGTCTATATAGTCTTACAGGCTATCGTTTTTCAGAGAAAAACAACGAAAACAGACCAGTTTTTAGGGTCAAAATAGAGATATTTTGATCCCCCCACAAGTCGCGATTTTTGAGATATCGGTATTTTTTGAAACGGAAAAAAGCGCTAAGTTAGTGTGTTACATCGTAACTGCACTACCATAATAGATAGAACCGGTTAAGTTTAGTTCGGAAGTGGTTGGAACTAGTTTGGTACCAAAAACCAAATTTTCCCATTTTTGATAGTAAGAAACACTATAAAATCAGAAAATTTTTTGAAATCTTTGAGTTAGGACAGTAAAAATAGTTGTTCGGACAACGTCCACTAGTGAATCTACGAGTTTTAAAACCCGCTACCCGAAAGCCTTCCGGGTTGCAGAGAAATCGAACATAACGTGTTTGATTTGGTGGATTCATCAATCCGGAGGGGTCCAGGTAGCATAGTTTTTCGAAAATTTTTTCTGCAAAAGCGTTTTAGATCGGGTCTTTTGCATTGAACTACAAGAGTATAGGCCTTCTGAGCTCAGATCAATAATTTTTAGGTCGGAAGGACCAGATTTGCGGAAAAAGTTAGGTGGAGCCTATAAGCGAGAAATTTTTTGAGTTTGCAAGAAAGACGTTTTAGTTAATAACTTTGGAACTACTGAGCATATTGAGTTGATCTTGGTACCAATAGATCAGAAATTAGCTGAGCTTACTGATAGGGTCAGAAATTTTTTGGAAAAGCGAGCGAGAAAATTTTTTGAGATTGTTTTTAGCAAATTACACAAATCCGGAGGGGTACACCCTTCACGTTTTATAAATTTTTCTGAAAAACCCTTAGACCCCTACCAAAAGGTAATAGCGGTTGAATAAAGTAACTTTAGGCCATTCTAGACCAAAAGGGAGGGCTGAAGGCACGAGACAACCATAATAGAGTCGAAATTAGGCAAGTGATAAGACCCTTCACCGTTAGTGTGAATTGTCAAATAAGTGCCTTAACTTCAATCCGGAGGGGTCTACCCTTCCCAGTTAATTCAAACAGCATAAAAGCAACGCAGAACGTATCAGGAGGGGTATAGGTTGAAAACAGGAAATCTCCGAAAAGCTACTTTTTACAAATCCGGAGGGGTCCGAATCCGGAGGGGTCTTATAGTTGCTAATTCGGAGGGGTCCAAATCCGGAGGGGTCTTCTATTAACCAACTCAGAGGGGTCCAAATCCGGAGGGGTCTAGATTCTATCAATCCGGAAGGGTCCTATTTGTGCCAATCCGGAGGGGTATTATTTTATTAAGGACTTAGGTAGACGAAAGAAAGACTGAAAAGTGAGAGGTATTAGGTTATTAGCACACAGGCTAGGTATCAGTGACTGCACTGGTAACTTGCCTTTCAATAAGAACCAGACTAATACAAAACAGGTCCGAACTCGGATATTCGCGACACTAAGTCTAAATTAAAAAGAGCGTGATTCATTGGTGTGGATTGAAACATAATACGTTTTTGGGAAAAGTGACTGCCCTGAGGATTTTAGTAGGTCTAGCTCGGGCAGTCCGAAGGCAGATAGGTAACACAGTACTCGGTGGGTGCAATAGACGCCCACTTGAGAAAATTACTGTCTTCAAAGTTTTGTCTGTTTGGTGCAGCACCTAGCAGGGAAAACTTTTTCTTTAAAAGACAGGTTCGACTATTGTACTGCGACCGACTAAGAGTACAAGACACATACGTTTTTTTAATATAATACATTCATATTGTGTCAATATATATTATTCGTTTTTGATTTTAAATCAACATAAACTGTGCTTGATCGGGTAGTGATTACACTATCTTTTAAATTGACTGATAACATCATATTGTGCTAGTTTCAAAATCTTTGGACCGATAATCGGTTAGTGTGAATAAATTTTATACAAACTGTACTCTGACAACATACAGGGATTCGTGGTCACTATTTAATAGAATCTGGTGAAATTTATTGTGTTGTGTCATTATTATTGTTAATAAAACTATAAGGAATTGAGTTAAGTATAGGCATTAACCGAGTTAAGTTTAGGCATTAAAAAGTGACAAATAGAGAATGAGTCTAGACAAGTCAAGGATACCAAAACGAGGTAATAGCTCTAGGAAATCCATACCTGAAAAGCAAAGAAAAACGATGACGGATCCTTTTGTGGATTGGATCAAGCGATCCCGGTCCGATAAAGAGGAGACGGTTTCAGGCAGAATGGTTGAAACGAGAAGTCAGAAGACCTCAGAAGAGCGAAGAGAACTGTTAGAAGTGGAGGTCAATACGGACCATACCATGAACGACAACCAGGGAGTAAATGGACTGGAAGGGAGAGGCAGAAGGCTGGCGAGTGAATCTACTCCGGTAGAACAAGGCCACGATTTTGCCACTTCCACCGGGACATTGGATCGGGAAGAGATGTCGGAACTGTCCGACATCTCAACTGAAGTAGCGGCAACTAGAAGGTCTCCGACAGACAACACTATGATGGCAAGCGGAACTGGGAAGCAAACAACGTCGTCATCGTTCTCAGAAAGAATGAAGAACACCTTAGGAAACTTCTTTCCATTCAGCATGGGAGGAGGAGCAGGAAACGATGGTGAGTCCCAGGAGGACGAGGAAGATGAAGAAGAGCAAGGGGACTTTGGATCTCTAGTCAGCCTCAATAGTTCGATCCAGGAGAGTGAGGCTCACGTCGGAAGAGAGACTGGAACCAAGGACAAATTTGGTGTGGTCACAACGATAAGCAAAGAGGCGAACACACCGGGCCAGTCAAAGGACTTCGCGATTAGGACAAGTTCGGAGCCACAACCTGAAGAGAGTAGAACCAGAGGGCTCGGCAATGCGTTAATGGATCCTGAAATAAATAATGAAAAGACGTTGAAGCAGAGAGTCATGGCCCGGATCTCGACAAGCACGAAGTTACCTGGGACCGACAGGGTTACACCGCCACTAGTGACGCCACTCGTGGATAACGGGGCAGCACTAGAGGAAGCCTTAAACAACATAGTGGGCAGTTTAGGAGAACAAAATGAACAGATGTCGATAAGGATGAGTGAACTAGAAAGAGCAGTTCACATTGAAAGAGAAAGTCTGCGGGAAGAAATAAACCGCAACAGACAAGAAGTTGGCAGAAGCGAAAAACGCTTGAAAGAAAGAACGGACGAACATATGACGAGGAACTTGTCGCGAATGACAAGGGAGGCGGAACAGAAGGAGTTACGCTGAAGAGCCGACATGGAGAAGTTAAGAATTCAGCAAGAGCAGTCTCTTGGGTCTCTTGACACAAAGATAGACGCGATGATGGAGAGGCGAACTCAGGCTATCATGGATAGGTTGGACGGGCTACTAAGCAGCAAGAGTGGACCAAAAGAAGGAAAGCCGAACTCGGGAGGTCCCAGCAGGGAACCGAGGGTGAACTTCAATGAACATCAAAGGAGGAAGACGTATGGATCCACTAGAGGCAGGGGCAGTTCATCAGGCTATGCCACAAGGGGTAATACAGCATGGGGCCCGAACAGTAGAGCAAATTCAACGGG